GAGAAAAAGCTAATGGGGGGGCGGATGAGTGGTTTCCTTGGACAATGAGGACATTCAAAAGCAACTGTTGACCAGGTGTGGTGGCTCATGCCTGTAATTCCACCACTTTGGGAGGCCGAGGCAGAAGGATCGCTTGAAGCCAGGAGTGGGAGACCAGCCTGGGCAACATAGCAAGACCTCATCAGCACAAATAATAAAAACAAAAAAAAAATATTAGCTTGGCATGGTGTTGTGCACCTGTAGTTCCAGCTATTCATGAGGCTGAGGCAGAGAATCACTTGAGCCCAGGAGGCAGAGGCTGCAGTGAGCCATAATCACACCACTGCACTCCAGTCTGAGCAACATAGTGAGACCCCCCATCTCAAAAAAAAAAAAAAAAAAGCAACTATGTATATGGGGAATTTAGAAAGCTACATGCATGCCCCAGAAAACAAGCATACTCAGAAAAGTTCTGAGAGTACTAAGCTTTCACCTTGAGCCAATTTCTAGGTACAATGCAAGTCTGGTTAAGTACTGAAGCAGTACCCACACACACAACCAATCAGGAAAGACGATTAGAGGTGGTTTTTATTTGTTTATTTGTTTGTTTTTAGCTCCTTGTATTTAAGAAACTCTGTCAAAATTCTCACTGAACACAATCTAAGGAACAGTGACTTCAGTGACGATACAGGACAAGCCATAGTCTTTGCAGAAGTAGTTTGGAAAAGTAAGTAAACCAAACTACTACTAAGAATTTTAACAATAAGAAAAAATAGCTAGGCACAGTGGCTCACGCCTGTAATCCCAGCACTTTAGGAGGCCAAGGCAGGTGGATCATGAGGTCAGGAAATCAAGACCATCCTGGCCAACACAGTGAAACCCCATCTCTACTAAAAATACAAAAAATTAGCCAGGCATGGTGGCACGTGCCTGTAGTCCCTGCTACTCAGGAGGCTGAGGCAGGAGAATCGCTTGAACCCAGGAGGTGGAGGTTGCAGTGAGCCGAGATCTTGCCACTGCACTCCAGCCTGGGCAACAGAGTGAGACTCCTTCTCGGGGAAAAAAAAAAAAAAAAAACCTAGACATGGTGGCACACGCTTTAGTCCTAGCTACTCTGGAGGCTGAGGCGGGAGGATCACCTGAGACCAGGAGTTCAAAACCAGCCTATGCAACATAGCAAGACTCCACCTCTATAAAACAACAACAATAACCACAAAAAAAAAAAAAAAAAACCCAGCAACTCCTGGAGAAGGGAGAGAATATGATATCCAGGGTTAGCACATTATAATATTCAAATTTTTTTCAACAACAACAACAAAAAATCACAAGACAAACAAAGAAACAGGAGAGCACAGCCTATTCAAAGAACAAAATAAACTGACTGAAACTGTTCCTGAGGAAGTCCAGACATCAGATTTAGTAGACAAAGACTTCAAAAACACTGTCTTAAATATGCTAAAAGAGCTAAAGGAAAACATGCAGAACAAAAAATCAGGAAATGATATATAAACAAAATGACAATATCACTAAGATAGAGAAATTAAAGATTAACAGTCTAAGGGTCATTGAGACATCATCAAGCAGACAAAATTACATACTGTTAGACTGCCAGAAAGTGAAGAGAAAGGGACAAAAGAATGTTTAAAGAAATAATGGCCAAAAATGTCCCCAATTTGATGAAAGACATGAATCTAGACATCTAAGAAGCTTAAACTCAAGGAAGATAAATTCAAAGAGATCCGCACTGAGGCATCCTATAAACAAATTGTCAAAAGATAAAGAGACAATCTTGAAAGCTGCAAGAAAAAAGCAACTTACCATATATAAGGCTCCTCATTAAGACTAACAACCAATATCTCATCAGAAACCACAGAGACCAGAAGACAGTGGGATGGCATAAATTGCTGATATATATATATATGACATGTCAACCAAGAATTCTGCATCTGGCAAAATGGTCTTTCAAAACTGAAGGAGAAAGTAAGACCTTCCCAGATAAACAAAAGCTGCGGGAGTTCATTACCAATAGACCTGCCCTACAAGAAATGCTAAAGGGAATCCTTTAAGTGGAAATAAAAAGATGCTGAACCAGCCAGGCACAATGGCTCACACCTGTAATCCCAGCACTTTGGGAGGTGATCCCAGCCAAGCCAGGTGGATCATTTGAGGTTAGGAGTTCAAGACCAGCCTGGCCAACATGGTGAAACTCCATCTGTACTAAAAACCGCAAAAATTAGCTGGGTATGGTGGTATACACCTGCAATCCCATCTACTTGGGAGGCTAAAGCAGGAGAACTGCTTGAACCGAGGAGGTGGAGGTGGAGGAGTGAGCTGACATAGCACTACTGCACTCACGTCTGGGCAATGGAGTGAGACGCCATCTCAAAAATAAATAAATAAATAAATATTAAAATTTAAATTTAAAAAAAGATGCTAGACAGTTACTCAAAACCACATTAAGACATAAGGATCTCTGGTAAAGGTAACTACATAGGCAAATATAAAAGCCAGCATTATCGAACTTTTTGTTTATAACTCTACTTTTTTATATCCTACATTGTTTTTAAGTGCTTTAAAATAATTATAAATCTATGTTATTGAACACAGTATGTAGAAAGATGTAATTTGTGACAACAATACACAGGAAAGGGGACAGAGCTATAAAACAGTGGAGATTTGTATGTTATAAGTGTGAAGTTGGTATCAATTCAAACTCATTTGTTATAAATATATGATGTTAAATGTAATCCCCATGGTAACCACAAATAAAATATAAACATAAAAAGAAGAAGGGACTTAAAATGGTCCGCTACAAAAAAATCAATTAATACAAAAGAAAGCAGTAATGGAGAAAATGAGGATGTAAAAGTTATAAGATATACAGAAAACAAATACCAAAATGTTGGAAGTAAGCCCTTCCTTATCAGTAATTACTTTAAACGTATGGTGTGAATTCTGCAATACAAAGGCAGAGAGACTCACAATATGGATTTAAAAAATAGGATCTAACTACAGTTATATGCAGTATAACAATGCTTCAGTCAATGACAGACCACATATGCAACAGTGGTTCCATAACATCATAATGCCATATTTTTCCTATACCTTTTAAGTTTTTTCTTTTTCTTTCTTTCTTTTTTTTCTCAATAAAAGGTCTCGTTCTGTCAGCCAGGTTGGAGTGCAGTGGCGTTATGATGGCTTACTGAAGCCTCAAACTCCCAGGCTCAATTGATCCTCCCACCTCAGCCTCCTGAGTAACTGGGACTATAGGCGTGAGCCACCACACCAGGCTAATTTTTGTGGGTTTTTTTGTAGAGACAGAGTTCCACCATGCTGTCCAGGCTGGTCTTGAACTCCTGGGCTCAAGCAATCCACCTGCCTCAGCCTCCCAAAATGCCAGGATTAGAGGCATGAGCCACTGTGCCCAGCCCTTTTCAATGTTTAGATATATAAATACTTACTGTTGGGTTATAATTACCTATAGTATTCAGTACAGTAACATGTAGTTACAGGTTTGTAGCCTAGGAGCAACAGACTGTACCATATAGCCTAGGTAGGTTCATAGTAGGCTGTGCCATACAGGTTTGTGTCAATACACTTTTTACAACAACAAAATTGCCTAATGGCATATTTCTCAGTATCCCCGGTTTTTTGTTGTTGTTGTTTGGTTGGTTGGTTGGTTGGTTGGTTTTGTTTTGTTTTTTTTCCACGGAGTCTCACTCAGTCACCTGGGCTGTGGGGCTGGACTGCAGTGATGTGATCTTGGCTCACTGCAACCTCTGTCTCCAGGGTTCAAAGAATTCTCCTGCCTCAGCCTCCCAAGTAGCTGGGACTACAGGCACGTGCCACCATATCCGGCTAATTTTTGTATTTTTGGTAGAGACAGGGTTTCACCATGTTGACCAGGCTAGTCTCAAACTCCAGACCTTATCCACCCACCTCGGCCTCCCAAAGTGCTGGGATTACAGGCATGAGCCACCATGCCCACCCATGTATCCCCATTGTTAAGTGACACATGACTGTATATGTTATCTACAACAGACTCACTTTAGACCCAACGACAAAAATAGATTGAAACTTAAAAGATGGAAAAAGCAATTTCATGAAAATAGTAACCAAAAGAGAATTGAAGTGGCTCTGCTAATATCAGACAAAAGAGAGCTTAGGTCAAAAATCGACATGGAAGGCAAATTCATTCAACAGAGAAAGAAGAGTCTGTTCAACAAATGGAGCCGGAACAACTATATTTCCACATCAAAAGAAACCCACAGCCAGGTACAGTGGGTTATATTACATTATGAATGTAACCAACGCCACTGATCTGTATACTTACAAATGGTCAAAATCAAAAATGTTATGTTATATATTTTACCAAAATATGCCTCAGAACCTATGCTCTTGACCATTGTGTACCCCTCCAACTCTGCCGGCATCTGTAAAATATGAATACTAATCCCTATCCTATCTCTTTCATTCTTATTGTAAGGATCAAATTAAATAGGAAACATGACAGGACTTTGTAAACTATAAAGGGCTGAAGTCAGGTGCCATTATTATCTTGGAGATGTACACATAAAATACCAAACTAAGTTGTGTCTTGGTGCTGTACAATAAATCATTTGTTTTGCCACATCTGGAAGCTCAAAGACCATTTCAATTGCAGTGTCAGTTTCCAGTGACACTACTCCAAGCAGGTAAAACATTACACTTGACCAGACTGATAAGGATCTCTGGTCAGACTGGTTGTGACTACAACTTTTCCATAGCATTACTTCCTTTCTGTGTATCTTGCACATGCTTGTCACAACAAAAAATGTATTCACCTAGGATCTCAGAACACTGATCAAAGAGGAAGTTTAAGAAAAAAAAAAAAAGACATCGCAACTGTCAGCTCTTTCTCAGGGAGACTAAGGAGATTTGCTGGGGAGCCTACATGGCATGCAGGGCCAGAGAGCACAGAGAGGATGGACAAACTTGCTGTGGTATACAGCTTTGGAAATGGCTCTGTGACCAAGACCTACCATAGGCACAATCAGCTTCTGGAGAAGGTTCTTCAGCCTTTTCAGCTCTGCTGAGCAGTATGTTTCAGAAAGCCTCCCCAACGGGGAACTGGCACATTACCAGGTTACTGACACCAAAGCAGCAGTGCTCACAGCAAAACACGGTCTTAGACTGGATTTGTTTGGAGAACAGGGCAAGAGGCTCCCAACGCAGATACTGAAGGGCATCTTGAAGAGAAAAACCAAGTTCGACACTTTTAAACAAGAATAAAGGACCAGTGTTCCTTCTGTAAGAGGGAGCCCCAACATCTTGCTTTATTCACAGAGTCCAGAACCCTTTTCCTTTACTCATTTGATCCATCACATATGACTTCATTTTTCATTTTGTGTTTCTGGCTACACACTCTTGCCTTTATTGAACTGATTCTGGCCTTAGTTCCCCTCCCAACTGGAAATTAATATCATTTCTTGACTACAAGTGGTTTCAGTCATCATCCCAAAAAAATCCATCTACCAGAACCCTACCTCAGCACTGGCCCATGTACCCCAACATCCTTGGAAGGGATGAAAAGGGACAATGTGTATTACGTGTTATCAAATTTTGTCAATCACGAAATTAAACAGCAAAATTTGAAACTCTATAAAATGAATACTAATAATAGCTATTTGTTGTGTGCTAGGCATTTATATATGTAAATAGTAGTCTGGAATCTTTCCTTTAACCACATGAACTACATGCTATCATTATCCCCATTTTAGAGAAAAGAAGAGTGAGGCCATGACAGGTTAAGTGATTTCTAAGGTGTCACAGTTAAGTTGTGGCAAATGGTGCTAGTGCAATTGGGGGAAGAAAAAAAAAAAAAAAAAACTTCTAACTAAACCTCACACCATACACAAAAATATAACTCAAAATAGGTAACAAATCTAAATATAAAACCTAAAATGCTAAAATGTCTAGAAGAAAACATAAGATAAAATCTCCATGATCTAGGGTTAGGTGAAGTATTCTGAGGCATCCATAAGCACAATCCAGGGCACAGTGGCTGATGCCTGTAATCCCAGCACTTTGGGAGGCCAAGGCGGGAGGATCACGAGGTCAAGAGATCAAGACTGTCCTGGCCAACATGGTGAAACCCTGTATCTACTAAAAATACAAAAATTAGTTGGGCATGGTGCCATGCACGTGTAGTCCCAGCTACTCAGGATGCTGAGGCAGGAGAATGGCTTGAACCTGGGAGGCAGAGGTTGCAGTGAGCCGAGATCGCGCTACTGCACTCCAGGCTGGCAACAGAGTGAGACTCCATCTCAAAACAAACAAACAAACAAACAAAAAATAACAGAAAAAAAAAAAGAAAAAAACACAGGGAAAAAAACTAAATAAATTGAACTTCATCAAAATTAAAATATTTTGCTCTGTGAAAGACCCTAATGAGAGGATTTGGGGTTTTGTTTTGTTTTGGTTTTGAGACAGGGTCTGATTCTGTCACCCAGGCTGGGGTGCAGTGGCATAATCATAGCTCACTGCAGCCTTGATCTCTCCAGCTGAAGGAATCGTCCTGCCTCAGACTCCCAAATAGCTGAGACTACAGGCATGCATCACTATACCTGGGTAATTTTTTTCATAAGATGATTTTAGAAAAGACAAGCCATCAACTAGAAGACAATATTTGCAAATCATATATCTGACAAAGAACCCATACTCAGAATACATAAAAGATTCACTAAACATTATTATATTATGTAAACAGAATATGTAACATTCAATAAAGAAAATTAACAACCAATTACATTAGTAGGCAAAATATTTGAACAGATATTTGACCAAAGATACATGGATGGCAATTAAGCACCTGAAAATACATTCAACATCATTAGTCATTATGGAAAAGCAAACTAACACCCAGACAAGATTCCACTTCACACCTATTAGCAAAGCTAAAATAACAAAGTGGCCATACCACGTGCTGCCAAGGATAGAGAGAAGCTGGAATTCTTATACATTGCTAGTGGGAATATAAATTGTCACAGCCACTCTAGAAAATGGTTTGGAAGTTTCTTATAAAATTAAACATGTACATATATGAGTGCACAGTCCCACCCATGGGCATTTACCCTCTAGAAATAATGTGTGTTCACACACACACAAAAAAAAACATATAATAATGTTTACAGCAGCTGTACTGTAATCATGAAAAACTGAAAATGTGCCAGACATGGTGGCTCATACCTGGAATCCCAGCCTCTGGGAGGCTGAGGCAGGAGGATCACTTGAGGCCAGGAGTTGGAGACCAGCATGCCCAACATAGTGAGAACTGGTCTCTTTACAAAAATATTTTAAAACTTAGCAGGGCATGGAGGTGCACACCTGTAGTCCTAGCTACTTGGGAGGCTGAGGTGGGAGGATTCAGAACAGGGATCTGAAAAAAAGATTCAGAACAGGGATCCCTGAAGAGAAAAAAAAAAAAAATGATCTCTAGACTTATCCCAAACTTCCTTTATTTGAATAAGCCTCTATTTTACTTAGATGAGAAGAGCTAACATTTATAGAGTGCTTGCTATGTGCCAGGAACTGTCTCCAGTTTTTCTTTTCTTTCTATGTAGAGGCAGGGTCTTCCTCTATTGTCCAGGATGGTCTTGAACTCCTGTGTTCAAGTGATGATCCCATGTCAGCCTCCTGACTACCTAGGACTACAGGCACATGGCACCACACCCAACTAATTTTTTTAAAAATGTTTTTGTAGAGACAGGGTCTTCCTATGTTGCCCAGGTTGGTAAGCATTTTATGTATATTAAATTATATAATTCCCAAAACAACCCTACAAAGTAAGGACTATTATAATCTTCATTTTATGGATGAGAAAACTGAGGCACAGAGAGATGTGCCAGGCCCCACAGCTAGGAAGTGAAGGAGCTATAACGTGGTCTGGCTCTAGAATTATGTTCACAACACTTTGCAATATAGTCTTATTACCATATTCTATAGCCTCCCCCTGATCTGCTCTTTAGTCACTGAGTCTGTGGTTTATGTTTCAGTTCATAAAAGATGTATAAATAGAGAAGTCTTAAAGGATTTCCTAGATAAGGCTTGGTTATCTGTATAGTCTTCCACTTTTACAATTACTTCAAATCAGCAAGCATTTCCTTAATGCCAATCCTAGCACTAAGAACCAGGGACCCAGAGACAGACAAAGCACAATCCCTGCCCTCGAAGAACTCATTCTAGTGAAAGAGACTCAAATGGAGCAACTGCAATTCAATGCAATAACTCGGACAGCAGAAAGATCAGAGAAGGCTTTCTAGAGGAGGGGAGACAGAAGTTGAGGATGTGAACTTAAAGTTTGCCAGGAAAATATGGCACGGAAGAGCACTTCAGGCAGATGGAAGTAGGTGCAAAGGAATGAATTGCGGGTGGGGGAAGCACAGAGAAATAAATGAGATGGAAAGGGAGAAAGAAATAGGAAACAGAGATAAAGAGAGAGATCATGGAACGACACATGGTTCTGCTCAGTAGGCGTGTTACTGGTTGCTATAAAGGACAGAGGCAAGGCCACAGAAAGAGTGTGGCCACACTGCATGGAGCACCTACTCCTCAGTCATGCTTCCCTTGTTCCATGCTGGCAGACTTAAACATAGCACAAAGAAAACTCCCTGAAGGCTGCCTTGGCCACCACTAGCCTCCCACCATCTAGCTCAGTACCTCTTATAGAGTGCCTCGTACCAACTGTGCTTTGTGATTTAAGATTCTAATTTATGACTTTGTTGACATGAAAAATTCAATTACCACTATCGGATTCCTGGAAAGACTTAAAAGAACAGCACTGTGATTTTCACAGGCACTGTCCAGAAGGGCTAACTTTTCACATTTGTAGAGGACTATACAACTAACGAAGATTTCACTCACATTATCTCGAGTAATCTGTTTTTTTTTTTTTTTTTTTTTTTTTTTTTTTTTTTTTTTGAGATGGACTCTCACTCTGTCGCCCAGGCTGGAGTGAGTGGCATGACTGACCTCGGCTCACTGCAACCTCCGCCTCCCAGGTTCAAGCCATTCTCCTGCCTCAGCCTCCTGAATAGCTGGGATTACAGGCTCACGCCAACACACCCAGCTAATTTTTACATTTTTAGTAGAGACAGGGTTTCACCATGTTGACCAGGCTGGTCTCAAACTCCTGACCTCAGGTGATCCACCCACCTCAGCCTCCCAAAGTGCTGGGATTACAGGCGTGAGCCACTGCACCCAGCCTTCTCAAGTAATCTTGATAACACTTGTTGGTTAGGTGCTCCTAAACCCACTATACAGAAGACGAAATGAAGCTTAGAGTAGTGAAGTGACCTAAGGTTCCTGCCAGAGTTCAAAGCGTATGTATCCAAATCCAGCGCTTCTTCCACTATACCACAGCTGCAAGACTCAGAGGTTACACCTAGCTCCCACTTGCCCTAGACCTTCCTACCTTCCTCTAAGCCTCTCCAAGACTCACTTCTCACTTATAAAGCTCTCCTTCTCTTAGGCAATCCCATTGATAAACACCATGCCAAAACATAGTATGAGAAGTTTGTCAATGGCTGTCTGCTATCTAAATGAAAAATTTCAAAATCTAAATATATAGCCACTACCCCCTACACATGACACTTCCTATGCTCCCTTCTTTGTTTTATCACATTATCTGATCATACAACTGACTTATTTGTTTTTCATCCATTTCCCCGAATAGAATTCAAGTTCCTTGAGGATAGGGATTTTTTTGCCTTTTGCCCACTGCTCTACCCCCAGTGGCTGCAAGAGTGCTTGGCACAAATAAACATTCATTTAACAAACTATTTCATCTGACATGCAAGGCCCTCCACAGTCTGATTTGCACAAAGGTCTCCCAACCATCTCCAACCTATTTCAAGGTCCTTCCAACATACTTCCTGGCATTCCCACTCCTATCCATTGGATTTTATTTCCACCTAGGTTCACCTAGGTTCTGCTACAGACCACTTCTTTCAGGAAGCCTTTTCTCATCACTCCAACCTAACAGTACCAACCATCTGTGGCATGTGTATGGCACCTCTCAAGTGTGGCTCTACAAGGTCGACCAGACACACCAATTAGATGGCAAACTTCTTGAGGATAGGGTCAATCTCTCTCTCTCTTCTCTCCTCTTTCCTTTCTCTCTCTCTCTCTCTCTCTCTCGCTGTCTCTTTCTTTCTCTCTCCTCTCTGCAACCCATATTGCTTCTGTCCCA